GGATAGTCCTTGGTTACACCAAATAAAATTATTATCTAGAGCAGTGGCTTTCAACCACTGCAAGTCTTGAATGTGGAAAGATGTCGAAAATTATAGGTCTTCCTCATTCAGCTGGAGCACCAGCAGTAAAATGTCCTTAATCCACCAAGCCATGCATTGCTAGCAAGCATTCTCCTTTCAGGGACTGGGCCGATTTCAAAGGATGAATTGAGACAAGACAAAATTTGAGTTACATTTGCAATTCATTACCCACCCAGGCTTCAGAAATCCTCTGGGTGAGTTCTTATGACTCGGACAGATGGCAAGTGTAGGAAATTGAGGCGTAATTTGCTTCACACACACCTGATTCCATCCTTCCCTACATTCAGCCCCTTGAGGACTTATTTGCTTACTTCCTCACAGTTGGTTGTATTTCAGTAGGAGAAAAAGAATGCAAATCAAAAACTTCTAAGTAAAATGCATTCCTCACCTTTCATTTTTTTTAACTTGCCTCCTCCCCCGCTCTCCACTCTGCCTTCCATATTTTCCAATTTAAGACAAGATTGTCCAGTCTGAGAAGAATCTTCAAAAAGGATAGTCATGATGTGTTGGAGATGATGTAATTATTTCTGTGTGGAAGTGACTGGTTGAAAATTAGAAAAAATAAGGCCATAGGTATCTAGACCTATAATTATAAGAGTAGAATGTCTATGTTGTCAATAGATGTTAAATTAAGACATATTTGAAAGTCTTTCACCCAAATATCATGGGAGTTTCTGGAGTCAGACTCTCATATTTCAGCTCCTGTCCAGTTCAGACAAGTATACCAAGGCCAGAGCAAGTTGCTTTCCATCAGTTACCAGTTATTAAATGAAGTATTCCCCATATGTAAGGCAGAAGCAATATAGTTAGATTGAAGAACTACCACTGAATGGGAAGCATTGTGCCTTCCATATGGCAGAGAGGATTTCTAAAGTCGTATCAAAATTAATTGATCATTGAGTTAGCCTCTAGGTCTAATTGTTCATAGATGGTTACACCACATAATTTTATATCTTGTTATAACCTTTGATAAATTGATCAGATGCCTGCATAAAAAATCAGGATTTGACTTCATAATCAATTCATTGTGCTTAATTAATTGACCACTAATCACTCTTTCCTGCTAAGCAACAGAAAATCTAAAGTCAGACTTGCCTGCCTTCCTTTCTCTGGTCACAGAGATTATCATGGTCTATGCATCCCATATTTGCCATGGTCTGATGCCCCTGCATGGCTTGTCTCGGGTTTCAGAGATCCTTGAAAGTATGGTGTATGTTTCCCAGGAAGGACTTGAAGCAAACTTGGGCAGTCAGCCTTTCTTGGAAGGCTTCCTTTGGGGCCTGTCAATATTTTCAATTGTTTATCTGAAATGCTCTGATTGGTAGAGTGGTGAGAGGTATGATAGAGTCTGTGTGGCTCTGTTACAATTCTAGCTCCACCAAGTCAGTATCGAACCTTGAACAATTTGCCTAGCCATAGACTTTTCTCATCTGAAAAATTGCCCAGAGAAATAGTACAACGAGTAAGGTGTTTGCACAGGGCCTATCCAGGTTAGAGTGCAGAACCAGGAGTACTCCCTGAGCATTGCCATGTGTGACCCAAAAACAAAGCAAAAAAAAAAAAAACCCAGAAACTGAAAATGATAATAATTCATATTTTTATAAGGCTCTTGTTAGGATTATTTAACCAGTTAAATTATATAAGAGATAGGAGAGGATCTGGTTTATGGTAAACATCATTCAAATTTCAGGTATTATTGTCATTACTGCTATCATTATCATTGTGTTGAAGGATCCTGTGAAAAATAACCACAATCAGGGATTATTCTTCACTCATCAGCCCTTCAAACTTGTCAGTTCTACAGAAGAGACTGTGTAGGTGCTGACCCATTTATAACCTTCTACCACTCTGATCTGTGATTTGATTTATTTTTGGTATGTTCATGGACATTAGGTTATAGTATGGGTGTCATTAATGTAAATGACAATGGCAGTGTTTTTTTAAAAACCGCTGAATAAGAACAAATGTGCCAAGCAGACAAGTTCATCTAATAACCAAGCACAGCACCTTTCCACCAGGTTGCTTCCTCTCGGAGCTTTGATTTGCTTACGAGTAACACTGAGTTTGGAATGATCGGATTTTGGTCATCCTTTATAGTGCTTTGTCAATATTTTTTATTTTTGTCAGCATGAGAAAAAATTCTTTGTTTTGGTTTACTTTGGGGGCCGCACCTGCCAATGATTAGGGCTTCTTTCTTTCTTTCTTTCTTTCTTTTTTTTTTGCTTCGCTTTTTGGGTCACACCTGGTGATGCACAGGAGTTACTCCTGGCTCTGCACTCAGGAACTACTCCTGGCGATGCGCAGGGGACCATATGGCATGCTGGGAATCGAACCCGGGTCAGTCTCATATAAGGCAAATGCCCAACCTGCTGTGCTATCTATTGCTCCAACTCCTAGGGCTTCCTTCTGACTCTGTGCTCAGGGATCACTCCTGGTGGTGCTCAGGAAGCCATGTTTGGTGCCAGGGATCAAATCTGGGTCAACAATGTGCAAGGCCAGTGCCTTTCCCTCTGTACGCTCTCATTTTGCTTAATACGATGCTCTCTAATTTCATCCAAATTGCAAGCTGTTGCGTATCTATACCACAAACTTCTTTCCATTCATCTGTCATTGGACATTCAGATTGTTTCCATATCTTGTTCCAGTGAACTTAACTGTATATATGTCCTTTTGAATTAATGTGCTTGTGTTTAGGATTGGAGCGATAGCACAGCAGGTAGGGCATTTGCCTTTCGTGCAGCCAACCCAGATTTGATTCCTCCATCCCTCTCGGAGAGTGCAGCAAGCTACAGAGAGTATCCCACCCACACAGCAGAGCCTGGCAAGCTCCCCAGGTCGTATTTGATATGCCAAAAACAGTAACAAGTCTCACAATGGAGATGTTACTGGTGCCCACTCAAGCAAATCGATGAAAAAACGGGAGGACAGTGCTACAGTGTTTAGGATTGTGGGGCCAATGGCAGTTCCCCCCACCCCCGCTTATTTTTTAAATAAACATCTCCATACTATTTTCCCCAGAGGCTGAAGCAGACAGCATTCCTCCCAACAGTGAATGAGGGCTCTTTGATACCACAACACCACTTCCTCACTAGCACTGGTTGTTCCAAGTCTTTCTGACATAGTGTATTCTCACTGGTGTGAAATGATATTTTAGTGCCATTTGAATTGATTTTCCTGATAATGAGATAATGCACATATTTTTCAGATGCATACTGACTGCCTACTTTTCTTTGGGGAAGTGTCCGTTTACCTCCTGTTCCTAATTTTGGTGGAATTATAACTTGTTTGTTGTTGAACTTTATGTGTACTTTATATATCTTTATCTGATATCTGGTATGCAAATATTTTTGCCCATAAAGTAGAGTGTCTTTTAATTTTAGCCTGAGTTTCCTTTGCCATGCAAAACCTTTTAAATTTGATGTAGTTTTATTTATTTTTGTTTCTTTTTTTTTAACCAATGAATTAAATTGTTGAAGATACTTCTGAAACTAAATTCATCAAAAGTTCTGCCTATGTTTTACTCAATGTATGTAGTTTATGGATTCTGGTCTAATATTGAGTTCTCTAATTCTCTTCGAATTAACTTTCATATATGGAATGAGATACAAATTCAGTTTAATTTTTTGAATGAATATATCGTTTCCCTATAACTGTTAGTTGAAGAGGCTTTCCTTGTTCTGCTTCATGCATGCAACAACTTGATTATACATTAACTGTCTATATAGCTGATGTATATGTGAAAGTAAAATGTAAAATCCTAGTTAACTGGAAATCTTTGATGTTCTTTACTGGAACAGAAACACTTAATGTCTATCTTCAGGATTGCTTTCTCATATAAGGAAGGATTAAGGGAAGCATTAAAACATAAAACAGCTTATACAAGATTCCTTACAAATTTATTTCTAATTTTTCAAGAAATTAATATGGAAAGATCTGGTCAATTACTTTGTTCACCGTATTGGAACGGTTATAATACATTATTCAAAAAGGTACTTTTTTATTTTTGGTCTGGCTTTGTTTTGGTTTTGGGGGCCACACCTGGCAATGCTCAGATAGAGATGCTTGGAGCACCATCTGGTGCTGAGAATTGAACAGGCCTCCTGCATGCAGAGAATGCATTCAGCCCTTTGAGTTCTCTCTCCAGCACTACGATTATTTAACACAAAGTTCAGGTAGAGATTTCTCCTTTGTTTTCTTAGTGGCATCAGGTTACAATTTTTCTGCTGCCTCAGAGGTTTCTGATTTGCATGGTTAATACAAATCAGTGTTGGGCTGATCGAGAATTTTAATATTTCTGCTCCATACCCAGAAGGGATAATTTTGCATTTTAATGCGGGCTTCACGTAGCAGCTTTCCCATCCTAGTCAGAAACGGATTCTAGTCAGAAAACCAATAAAGAATGTGTTTCCTTCTTAGGACAGTTGGCTGCACTGTGGAGGGAAGATTAAAACGTTATTTTGCATATTTTCACATATTGATCTTGTGGTTCAAGATAATTAACAGTAACAAAAAATGTCTTAGAAAGACAATGCCTACTTTTTTTTTTGTCTGTCCTAACAGAGAATTGAGGAATAGCCTTATTAGGTACATTGATCAGCTGTAGATGCCTACGATGTGCAGGCATATTCCTGCTGCTTTGCTCTCCTCTCGGAACTGTGGCCATTCAGACTTCAGTTCTATGCTTTCTGTTCACTCTCCCCCACCCCTCTTTTTTACTTAAGTACATATTTAAGTAGAAAAGAACAATATGGAATAAAATTTCAAGGAATAAAGTGAAGTGTATGTGAGTTTCTCACTACTCTAACACTTCTAGTGTTTATTTGGAAGGCGTCTTATATATTATGAAGATCAGAATTTAGACTTTTGTTCCTTATATATAATTTCTTTGTTGATTTTCTCCTCCTCCCTCTCCCCACCAGGTCTCTGGCTTGCATCTTATATGAGATATGCTGCATGAGGCACGCATTCACTGGCTCCAATTTCTTATCCATTGTTTTAAAAATTGTGGAAGGCGACACGCCTGCTCTCCCTGAGCAATTCCCAAGGGAACTCAATGCCATCATGGAAAGGTGTGGAAGTGAATCTATTGCCACGGAAGCAACCTTCAATTGTACATAGGCTTTCAGTCACTTGAAAGATAATTTTCTTTTTAAACATTGCAGCATGTTGAACAAGAGTCCTTCACTGAGACCATCTGCTATAGAAATTTTAAAACTCCCATACATTGATGAACAATTACAGGTATTTGAAACAAAAGTGATGCTGGGAAGCATTTGCTAGCATTTTAGCTCTGATGAGCCATGCTGGGACAAGAAGATGTGCTGTGGGAACCAGATGTGTCCAGAATCAGTCAGGAAGAAGCCTGGGCCAGGGAGGTGACTCAGAGGGCTGGAATGCATCCATAGCATTCTGTAAGTTTGATCCCTGGTACTGCATTGTACCCTGAGCCCCATAGGGAGCAAACCCATAAACCTCCTATTCCCCCCCACCCAAAGCAAAGAAAGAAAATTGAGGGGAAACAAGTTTTTTGAATAGCTCGCAATTATAGTTGGAAATGATCACTCTGGACAAGAACTGCATGCTGAAAGTAGGTAAAGAAACAAATATGATAACCTCTTGGTATCTGTATTGCAAACCATAATGCCTGAAGTGAGCAGGGGAGGGGGAGGGAGGGACGGAGAGACAGAGAGAGACAGAGTGATAGAATGAGAGAGAGGGAGGGAAGGAGGGAGAGAATGGAGGAAGAAGAGAGGAGAAAGGAGAAAAGTACCTGCTTAGTTGGGGGACCAGAGGAGGGGAAATGAAACTGGGGACATTGGTTGGTGGGAAATGTACCCTGGTGAAGGAAGGGGTGTTGGAACAGTGTATGACTAAAACTCAATCATGAACAACTGTGTAACTGCATCTCACAATGATTCAATTGAAAAAAAAAAAGACAGCCAAGGAGGGGAATTATTAGTTAAGGCAGTCTCCTTGAAAAAGAAGGTGTCTGGAACCTCCAGTGTGACGGAGAGAGACACCTGTGAGGATTGTGGCTTTCTGCATAGACTCAATATTCCCCATCAGAGCCCTTGTTTGACAGATTTTACCTCAGCACTTTTAAGAAATACCCTGCTAGGACAATAATATATTCAGTCTTCTGAAACGCTGGTGTTTTTCATTGGGTCTTATTATTCTACTCCTTTCTTATTTATAGCAAGAACACTTGTGATAGAATAAATGACTTAATTTCGTTTTCTTATAGATTAGGAAATTTGAAGTAGAGGATTTGTCTTTTGAGGGGGAGGGAAAACAAGTTCCCCTCACCAACCTCCCAAAGATTAGAAACAAAAAATATTTCTTAGGCTTTTGCCATACAAATTCCTCTGACAAGCTTCCTTTTCGAGAAGAGCTTTGCCAGGCCCCCCGCAGTGGTCACTGACTGTCTCATCAGCATCCAGCTCTCAGTCCAGCACCAGTGAGCAAACTGTGTCAACGGCTGTGAGGAGCCAAGTGCGGGCTCCGCCCTGACAGGGAGCGGGGCATCACATGGTGATGAGGGGCTTCTGGCCTTCAGAAGTGTGAGGGCTACTGGAGGACCCAGAAACCAAGAAAAAGTCAGCTACAACTTAAGAGTAGCGTGTACTTCCCATGCAGGAGGCCAGGCGCATCCCAGGCAGCAAAGAAAGAGTTAGCAACTAAATATTATAAATGATCACTAAGGGAGTGGGGGAGAGATGGGAGATATTACAGTGGTTGGAGTGCAAGTCTAGCCTGTGCCCAATCTGGGTTCCATTCCTTGGCACCACAGGGTCCCCCAAGCATCATCAGGTAAGACCCTGGAAGCCCCTAGGATGCCCTCGGATAACATTTTCCCTCAGCCCTTGAGCGTTGACGGAGATTGGAACTCCAGATTCTTTCTCTCATTTGAGTGAAGAGTGATACTCCAAACATAGCTCTTTTGATTCCTCTTTGAGAGACCCGAATAGCATTCTCATCCTGTTTTCATAGGGCCCAGGTCTCTGAGGCATATGTTAATGCAGGAAGAACAGTGGAATCGAAGAGATGTGCTCGGAGCTGGAGGTTCTTTGTATACTTTATATTTATATATAAAATATAAATCTATATTATTTATGTGCCCACTTGAGCAAAATGGATGATCAACGGGAGGATAGTGCTACAGTGCTACAGTTATCAATAATTTCCTCTGCCTTACTTTATTGTAAGACTGTAGAATGTAATTCACGTAAACATACAAGCTCTGTTTTGTTTGCCTATTGTGAAGCTTCTCCAACAGTCAGCCAGCTATTAGTAGTAGTAGGGAGAGGCAAAGTGATATAGAAAAAAAGGTTTGTTTTCTTTTTTTCTTTTGGACTTTGGATCACACCTGACAATGCTTAGGGCTGACACCTGGCTTTGCACTTAGGAAACACTCCTAGCAGGGTCATAGGACCATATGGGGTGTCCGAAATCAACACGGGTCAGTCACATGCAAGGCAAGCGCCTTACTCACTGTACTGTCACTCTGGCCCCTATCTGGAAATTTTTGAATGAAGACGCTCAGTGCTTCTAACTCATGTGTTGTTCAAGGATCAGCTGAATAGTCAAAACCAGTTCCTGGAGAGCCGTCCTTCATGAAAGAAGGGTATTGGATCAAGTCCCCCGGGAGGGGTTGTGAGCATACCCTTTCCACCCCTCCTGTCGCCCCAAACAGAAGAGGTCCAAGAGGAATCTACTGGGTCAACGGTAGAGCAAATGTGTCATGTGCAATAAGAATGCTATAAAGAGGTCACCACTCAAGGAGTCATTAAGGGAGATAATATTTTAGTCCAGTGCTTTGAAAATCGAGACGAATGCTAAAACTCCGGTTAACAAAAAATCTAAAAAGTTCAAAGACAAGATCTGACAGGACTAGCTTCAGGCAAGGGAGGATGGTGTGAATTCCAGATCAGAACCTGCCTACATTTCAATTTTGGGTGCTGTTACTCTCTCTGACCCTGGAGTATTCCCCCCCCCCCTTTTTTAATAGTGTTGTGTTAAAATAATCTTTATTCGATGACTGAGTTTTTTGTTTCCCCCCCCTTGAAATTTGAGCTTGACTCCACAGGGATGTGCTTAAAGTGGATACTATAAAATCTTTGCCACCCTTGCTTGGAAGGAAGAGAAATGAGGGGCGTGTTTTATTTATTTATTTATTTATTTATTTATTAAAAAGGTAAAGGCCCTCCCGTTGATCGTCGATTTGCTTGAGCGGGCCCAGTAACGTCTCCATTGGAGACTTTGTTGTTACTGTGTCTGGCATATCGAATACTCTCAGTAGCTTGCCGGGCTCTCCGAGAGGGGCGGAGGAATCGAACTCAGGTCGGCCATGTTGGCCGCTTGTAAGGTGAACGCCCTACCGCTGTGCTATCACTCCATTGAATCACTGTGAGATAGGCCCTTACAAAGCTGTTCACTATTAGGTTTCAGTCATACAATGTCCCAACACCCATCCCTCCACCCCCCTAAACCCCCCCCCCCCAGCCTGTCTCTACGGCAGACACTTTTCTTCTCTCTCTCTCTCTGCCTCTCTCTGCCTCTCTCTGTCTCTCTCTCTCTCTTTCTCTCTCTCTCTCGGGTTTTTTTGGGGGGGAACATTTAGATCTTTTATCTTTCTAAATCATGTTGTTGAAAAGATATCATGAATTGGGATACTAATTTTTTTAATTTTTTAATTTTTATTAGTGAAGCACCTGTTTTGCAACACCCAAAAGGAGAGAGAGAACAATTGGGTTTTATTTCTTTATTTTTATATATTTTTTTTGCTTTTTGGGTCATACCCAGCAATGCACAGGGGTTACTCCTGGCTCATGCACTCAGGAATAACTCCTGGCGGTGCTCAGAGGACCATATGGGATGCTGGGAATCGAACCTGGGTCGACCTCATGCAAGGAAAATGCCCTACCTGCTGTGCTATTGCTCCAGCCCCTGGGTTTTATTTTTAAACTCTTGGACATGATTGCAAAACAGACCAAGCTTCAGGTTGGGTCATTGTTAGGCTTTTTTTTTTATATCTCTAAGGTGTGTCTTGGTGGCTCTTGATATTTTTTTCAGCACCTGATGTGTAGATATTCAGAAATGACTCTGGAAGACAAGAATTCGAATTGTCAGAAGGAAGCTGCTCATATAATTAATGCAGTGTAAGTAATTGTTTTTTTTTAAAACCCATTGAGTACCAGTGTTAACTGCATTTGTCTTTAAAAATCTATTAGTGCAAAGCAGACTGCATGGAGTATCCTAGGATTCACTTAACACTTGCCAAGAAATTAAGGAGCTTCAGTAATGTGGGTTCCAAAGCCCTTTGCCCCAGGTGGTAGCAAATTGGAATCATAAAACTTTAAACCACTGTGTAGCTCAAAGAGCTACTGGTGGCTCTGCTGTCGCCTTGTACTTATAGAGAGAAATTAATATCCAACATTTAGTGGTAGTTATGCTAATGAAATTTCCATTTGAAGTATAAATGGCTTTCTCATGTTTGTTTAATAGGAACTGGCAGAGGATCTTATTGAAAAGGTAACATAGGGAGTCTCAGGACCAATGAAAATATGCCGGAATTCACTTTGAGATATGCATAAGCATTCAGGAGTTTCTTTGTGTGTTTCACAAAGGGCCATAATTATTTCCTGTCCTAACCTCTCTCCCTTCCTTCGTTGCTATAACTCACAGGCACACATGAAGGGAGGCGACCTCAGAAAAGCCATGTATGGCCATGCAGTCTGTATACTGTACCGCCACAGGGCTGCCACCTAGAAAGGCCCAATCTGTAATTTTTCAGCAGGAACATTTTTTTTCTTCTTCTTCTAAGGCCGGGTGACAATGGCAGTCCCTCACAAGGACAGAACAAAGGGGCAGGGTGAAAACGGTAGCTTTCAGTCAATCCCAGCATGAGTGTGCTTCTCTAATTGCTTGGTTCCCAATGGCTTCTTGGGGGCACCATATTTGTCTTCCATCTTTTTATTTGAATTGAGGAACCTGGCATTTTTGGTGGAGGAAACCACCTCCTCTACCTCTTCGCAGTTTTTCTACCTGGAAAGTAATTAAATCCACACAACACGGGAGAAAAAGACCAATTGCATCTCATGGCCATGGAGATATGCTGCAAAGGAAATGAAACAGAGCGAGATGCTTATGTATTTATTTTAGATACTGAAATTCTTGTTACTTTTGGAATTAAAATAGATGCAGGGCATACATTGTGCTCCTATAATATACCTAAATTATTTTCTTGGGTTATTACTTGTCCTTTCAAGAGAGCTTGGAGCGATAGCACAGCGGGTAGGGCGTCCGCCTTACAAGCGGCCAACATGGCCGACCCGAGTTCGATTCCTCCGCCCCTCTCGGAGAGCCCGGCAAGCTACCGAGAGTATTCCATATGCCAGACACAGTAACAACAAAGTCTCCAATGGAGACGTTACTGGGCCTGCTCGAGCAAATCGATGATCAACGGGAGGGCCTTTACTTTACTTTACTTTACTTCAAGAGAGCTTGAAATATCACAGTTTATTAACCAGAGTGTGAGAATAATAGGTACAATACATATATACATACATATTCATTTTAGCTGTCATTTTTTCCCTGAAGTTGTGAAATCACTTGCTTGACACTGTTACAAAGTGTGCTGAGATCCAGTTTCTCAGTGGCATTCCATATTGGTAGCATTGATTTAAATCACCAGGGAAAAAAAGGGTCAGGAGGAAGCTGACCAAGGTTGGAAGCTTGTCACATGTGTGTTGGGGGCAAAGGGCGGTTAGGAAAGAGAAAGGACCAGTATGACATTAATCACAGTCACGGTCCTCCCGTTGTTCATCGATTTGCTTGAGTGGGCCCAGTAACATCTCCATCATGAGATTTGTTGTTACTGTGTTTGGCATATCGGGTAGCTTGCCAGTGTCTGCCGTGCGGAAGATACTCTCGGTAGCTTGCCGGGCTCTCCGAGAGGGGCGGAGGAATTGAACTCGGGTCAGCATTGTTGGCTGCTTATAAGGCAAATGCCCTACCGCTATGCTATCGCTCCAGCCCTCAGTATGACATTAATAATCATACTATTGATCTATTAGTCATACTAATGACCACTGGACAAGAAGTGAGTGTTGAAAGTGGGTAAAGGGATATACATGGTAACCTTTCAGTATCTATATTGCAAACCATAGTACCCAAAAGCAAAGAGAGAGGTAAGAGAAAGAGAAAGAGAGAAGAAAGAGGGAGACAAAGAGACAGAAAGGAAGGGAGGGGGAGGGATAAAGGGAGAGGGGGAGAGAGAGAGAGAGAGAGAGAGAGAGAGAGAGAGAGAAAGTGCCTGCCAGAGGCAGACAGGGGTTGGGGGGTGGGGAGGAAACTGGGTACACTGGAGGTGGGAAATGTGCACTGGTGAAAGAATGAGTGTTGGAATATTAAATAACTTAAACCCAATCTTGAACCTTGTAACTGTATTTCACTGTAATTTAATTAAAATAAATAAATAATAAAAATAAAATAAATCACCCCTGTTAATTTCATGATCTCTAACTATAATTTAAGAAGATACATTGCATCTTCCAAAACAAGGGCTATAAATTTCCTAACATTTTCATGTCCCCTGGACATCTAATCTAGGCTGAATGTATCCCAGGAGGACGAGGGTTATCTACAGTGGTCAGTATAATTTTTCTCATAGTGTTTTATTAAGAAAGGAGTTGAGTTCAAAGGGCGTTCTGTGGTATTTTGTCCAAACCAAATTTAGGACAAGAAAAATAATCACAGGATGAATGTGGTTGCCGTCCTTTCAGTTCAGGGCGAATGGGAACACATTTTTATAACCCAAGAAAAGCTCTTATGTAACAGTATCCACAGACATTTTGGAAAGTAATAACTGTAGATGTGCCTCTACTATTAGCAATTTGACTCATAATAGCGCTATGAAATAGGCAGTATCATTATCATTATTGATGGCAAAAGTAATACATAACTTTCCCTGGGTTATAAATCATATAACCAGAGACTAATATTTGAACCTAGGGAGGGATATTAACCTGTCCAGTTTAGCACCGTGTCATGCTTTCTTAAAAATGTCATTTAAATCAGGTCAAGAGTTGAAAATATATTCAGTACAACTTAGCTATTAAACTGCTCTCAATTTTTGACATTTTTCATGTGTCAAATATTGTAGGCATATTATCTCACTTAATAACTAGGAGAGCATATTTGAAAATGTTTCATTTATTTTCTTTTAAGATATTAGATCACATTGGAACTGGAACAATAGTACAGCAGGTAGGACACTTGCCTGGCATGTGGCCAACCTAGGTTCAATCCCTAGCATCCCATAAAGTCCCCTGAGCTCGATCAGGAGTAATTTCTGAGTGCAGAGTCAAGAGTAAACCCTGAGCATCACTGGGTGTGACCCTCCACAAAAACAAACAAAAAAGTATTAGGGCACCACCATGATTTACAGAGTTATTATTGTCAGTTGGGATTCAGACACAGTGTTCCAAGCCCAGTCATACCACCAGTGTCAACTTCCCTCAACCAGTGTCCCCAGGTTCCCTCCTCTCACCAGCCTGCCTCCTTGCCTAGCACATTTTCACGTTTGATTTTTCTAGTTTTGATTTGGTACTTCTAGTATTGTTGGTTCTGTTGTTTAGATGGAGACACATACCTCAGCTCTATGCTAGTGATGTGCTCGGGGGAGCAGAGCCGTACCCTGATGCCTCCCATGCTTCTCTTCATCGTATCCCCGTTGGTTTCTTTCCTTCCCTGTCCTTTATTATAGCCCATTTTTGACAGACAAAACTGGGGGTGAGAGAGATTCAATAACTTGCCCAGGGCTCCAGAGGTAATAAATGGGAGAAATGGGACTAAGCCCTGCCTGTGAAATTGCAAAGCTTATGTTCCGTCCACACCGTTGAATTTATCTGCCAGTCTATTTACTTTTTAATAGCCGGAATCCTAATTTGCCTTACATGCTTGAAACCAGTCACGGGGCAGAGAAATGAGCAGAAACTTGGAAAGTACAATGATTTGCTCTTTAACAAAAATCTAATTTGAAAAATGTTGTCAATTAAGCACAGTCTGGGCTGGCTCATTACCCATCCAGCATTTATTAGTTTTTGCCTGGCCCGTCTCGAGCTTCTCTTCCCTCCTCAGCCACGTAATGATTTTGCTGTGAGATGTTTGTTTAGTTTTTCTGAGCATGTTTGGGAATGGGTTGCACACAGGAAATCTGGATTCTCTCTAGGCAAAGGAAGATCCACCTACAGACTCTCCGGGCGCTGTCTGAAGTGCAGAGAATGACCCCCAGAGAACGGATGCGGCTAAGGAAGCTCCAAGCAGCAGACGAGCGAGCAGGGAAGCTGAAGTAAGTGGTCTTCCACCAGGACACCCCGGACCCTGGACTCTCAAGGAATTTACCTAATGGAAATAAACCCCCAAACCAAGAAATCAGGGGGCGGCACATGGGGATTCTTGTCTTTAATATACACTCATTCCTTTAAAGATGCCTGTTGGGCCCAAAGTGTGGTGACTGGCTGTCTGACACCATGAATACCAGGTTTTCTAGGTAGCTGTTAGTGATGGACATCTCAAGCTGGTTTCTGAATGATGGATGCCACATCCTGTCCTCTGTCCCATGTGCATGCCTCAGCCAGGTGACCCGGTGGGGGCTACACGGAACAGGCAGGCCAGCAGCAAATGGCTGGCTTTCAGAAGCCCATCGGAGACAAGGCTCTCTTTTACCAGATGAAGCCCTTTGAAAAGCCAGCGCTCAGGCTGCCGCTGGAGATGTTTCGTGAGCAAGTTGAAAATTAGCATGAGTGAGTAGATATGACCGAAGTCCTCAAACTACTGCTCAATACTGATTGTTCTGGGGCTGCAGCAACAGTACTGCGGGTAGGGCATTTGCCTTGCACGTGGCTGACCCAGGTTCGATTCCCAACATCCATTTCGTCCCCTGAGCAGCTCCAGGGGTAATTCCTGAGTGCAGAGTCAAGAATAACCCCTGTGCATCACTAGGTGTGACCCAAAAAAGCAAAAAAAAAAAATACTGATTGTCCAATGTCCTAGTTTTTCTTCTGTCTTCCTCTGCCCAGTTTTTTGTAACTTTAAGGTCCCCAACCCAGCCCTGGAGACACAGAGATGACCATGACTCATAGCTGCTCACCTGGTGACCTTTGTTCATGTACATTAGAGTGGTCTCATGTGAAGCAGGGAAGAATCTGTGAGAGTGTTTTTCCTTCACACATGTTTTCTTTAGGACATGTGTGGAAGTGTGCCCAAAAGTGGTAACCAACCAGCAGGGACTGGGGTGAGCCCCTGCTCACATGTCAGCTGAACCCTAGCAGTGAATCCTCTGCAAGTGGCCAGTTTCGATCAGCTACCCTGCTTTCACTGAATGTTCCACTGGGAAGATGTATTCGCACCTTGCTTCTGGGAGCCAGAAGAGGCTGGTCTCTGTAGGCCCCTGCATCACTCAGTCTGGGTCTTACTGGGACAATGTATTCACATTGTTGCTTGAGCGATTATAGCAGCTCACAGGTCCCAGTTTATTTCTAGCTTCTCAGAAACAGTGCTGTTTCAGAGTACCTTGGTTCATGTCACTGGTGGAGAATAAAAAAGAAAATGAAATCTCTGACAAGCACCAATTAAAAAGGCAATTTTGCAACTTGCAAGTGCATTACAATTTATTTTTCAAATTACAGGTCTTTTATTCTTAAAAGAAAGTCATAGATCTTCCCTACGACGTTTACTATGTTTTCTGTTTAGAGGCAATGGCTTTTAAATAAAGTCTGTATGAATGAATTATGCTAGCATTGGTTTTGATGGTTCTGTCTAGGATTTAAGAGTAACCGTGGATTTAGGCTCACAAATGGCTCTATTGTCAGAAGGTTTATTACACACATATTTTCTAGACAGAAAATTTGTCTCTAGGGATGTTTGGGGATTGTCAGAAATTCTAACTATAAATTAGCACACAAGTAACCACAAGAATGCAACTCTTTCTTCTAGTTTAATAGGAGGACCACTAATCTAACTCTTGGAAAAATGGAAATAAAAATATATCCAAAAAAACATTCCCCTCCACAATAAGTCTCTCAGTCCTTTCCATAAATTATTTTAAATGAATTTCTGTTTTCTTTATGGGATTATTCATCCAGAAAACAGCTACCTCTGTGCTGAGCATTCCACAGCCTGGTTGCTACAGGACAGGCGACGTGGGGGTTGGTACTGCCCACTGCAGCACAGTAGGAGTTCTTGGTTTGGATAAGGAGCTTGCATAACTTAAGTGTAACCTCTTGTGAGCCTGTAAGAGAATCAGCGGATACTGCCCTACACAGCTCTGAATCTGGAGGGGAGCCTTTGGCCTGGCTTCCCAACAGCCTTTATTGACGCATGGATCACACCTACCTGCACTGTAGCACTGTAGCACTGTCCTCCCGTTGTTCATCGATTTGCTCGAGAGGGCCCAATAACATCGCCACTGTGAGACTTCTTGTTACTGTGTTTAGCATATTGATACGTCACGGGTAGCTTGCCAGGCTTTGCTGTGCAGGCGAGATATTCTTGGTAGCTTACCGGGCTCTCTGAGAGGGGCAGAGAAATCGAACCTGGCTCAGCCAAGCAGGCCGCTCACAAGGCTAACACCCTACTGCTATATAGTATAACAAATTAAGCTTTTTTAAAAATTTATTTTTTGTTATACTACATTCTTTTGCTCTTTAGAGAGAAAGAATGTGGTATAACAAATTAAGCTTATTTATTTTTTACTTAGATGATAAAAATCTGCGTCAGAATGGCTAAAACAAAGAGATTTCAGGGACTGGATAACCAGTGACTGGAAAATGTGGTCCAGGCTCAGATTCTTTCCAAGCTGAAGAATTCCCACTCAAAGTGTGTTCCTACACTCAGAACATGCCTTCTTAAAGTTGCCTTCTTATCATTCTCACCTTGACCATTAAGATGCAATATTGAGGGCCAGAGTGATAGCACAGCTGTAGGACATTGGCCTTGCATGCAGCTAACCTAGATTGAGCCCCCGGCATCCCATATGGTCCCCTGAGCACCGCCAGGAGTACTTACTGAATGCAGAGCCTGGAGTAACCCCTGAGTATTGCTGGGTGTGACCCAAAAACCAAAAAAAAAAATTCTCTATTTTGTGTTTGAAATGAGTATCTCAGGAGCCAGAAAGATAGCTTGTTGGGCAGGAGGAGATATTTTGCATGCAGGAAGCCCAGAATTGATCCCTAAGTACCTGAAGTGACCCTCAAGCACTGAGCAGGGAGTGACGCCTGAGCACTCCTGGTGAGGCCTCAAAAGAAAACAAATGAGTGTCCCAAATAAATCAGACATAATTGGCCAGTGACCAAACTTTGATAAAATATTACTCAGTGTGTGTGTGTGTGTGTGTGTGTGTGTGTGTGTGTATGTCTATTTCTTTGTGTACAGGACCATGTGGAAGGAGCAAGAAATACCAAAGTCCAAAAATTGATAGACAGGCACATACACACACACACACACACACACACACACACACACACACACATATATATATATATATATAATATAGCACTGTATTGTCCTCCCATTGTTCATTGATTAGCTTGAGCGGGCCCAGTAACTTCTCGTTTTTGAGACTTGTTGTTACTGTGTTTGGCGTATTGAATACATAACAGGTCACTTGCCAGGCTTTGCTGTGCGGGCGAGATACTCTCGGTAGCTTGCCAGACTCTCTAAGAGAAGTGGAGGAATTGATCCCGGGTCTGCCAGGTTGGTCGCATGCAAGGCAAAACACCCTACCCGCTGGGCTATCGCTCCAGTCCTGTGTAATTAAGCTTAAAAAAAAAATAAGCTTGGGGGCTGAAGCGAGAGCCCAGCGAGTAGGCCGTTTGCCTTGCACACGGCCGACCCAGGTTTGATTCCCAGCATCCCATATGGTTCCCTGAGCTACCATCAGGAGTAATTCCTGAGTGCAGAGCCAGGAGTAACCCCTGTGCATCGCCAGGTGTGGCCCAAAAAGCCAAAAAAAAAGCTTAAAAAAAAAAAAGCTTAAAAAAGCTTTGTTATACTACACTTGATCTTAGCCAGCATGGCCGACCCGAGTTCGATTCCTCCACCCCTCTCTGAGAGCCCGGCAAGCTACCGAGAGTATCTTGCCCGCACGGCAGAGCCAGGCAAGCTACCTGTGATGTGTTCAATATGCCAAACACAGTAACAACAAAGTCTCCAATGGAGATGTTACTGGACCCGCTCGAGCAAATCGATGAACAACGGGAGGACAGTGACAGTGACCATTTGTTATACTATATTCTTTCTCTCTGCAAAACACGGAAATGATTTTAGCCAATATCAGGAAGTTTTCTACATCCTCTTTCAATTTGCAGAAAACTTGTGGAAGAAAAATATGAGGAAAATAACAAACGGATGCAAGAAATGAGGTTGCGGAATTTTAAGCAGCTGAATGTCGATATATTCCATGTAAGTTCCTCTCATCATTGTAATTTGAAAGCCAATCTTTCCTTGCTTCGAAATCTCGAGACTGATGGGGCCAGTTATGTAGATAAAGAGACTTAGTAGTGAAACAATGCATCTGAACCAAATGTTACCAATTTCAGAGAGGATATACTGGGATTTCTCTTACATCATAAGTTGACATTATTTACTCTAATTCAAAGTGAGTATACTCAGATACAGATTTCTTGATTCACTCTTCGAATGATGAGATCCTGTAGTGTATGAGGACATCTGGGCTGTGGGTGTGTCTACTTCTAAATTTCAGTTGTATTGATATTTTACTTTATGAGTTCTTTGTTTTCTTTTTGTCATAATTTCTTAAATGTTATATTTTCATTACTTCATATCTCTCATATATGTCATTGTGCACTGTGTTAATATGCACAGTCAAATGTTGAAGAATTAGCATAGCTGTCCAGTAATAGGAAAAGATTGTATGTTCACATCAGATGAAACCCAAAGGCATGTCCTCAGTGTCCTAAGCACCTGGATAGCAAATACCATTTTCTCTATTAATCAAACTGAGCTCCACGGGCCCAGGTGTGCACTTGGAGACTCAGGGTCACCTTTCTTCAGGATCCCATTTGAACAGTAGACACCAGCAGCAACCTAACTCTTCTGGTAGAGCCACTGAGAAAGGATTCCCCTCCCCTCCCCTCTCCTCCCTTCTTTTTCCCTCCCCTCCCTTATCTTTCCCTCCCCTCTCCTCTCTTCCCCTCCTCTCCCTTCCTCTCCCCTCCCATTCTTCTATTCTCCCCTCCCCTCTTCTCTTCTCCCCTTCCCTCATTTTCTCCTTCCTCCTTCTCTTCTCTCCTCCTCTCCTGTCCCCTCCCCTTCCTCCTTTCTCTTTCTCCCTCTATCCTCTCTCTACTCTCCTCCTCCTCTCCTCCTCTACCTCTTCTTCCCCCTCTTTCCCCTTTCCCCCCTTCTTCAGTCATTTTTATGAAAAACTATGCTATACTATGTTCTGGTAGCTCATTCTGTGCTTAGCTCTGCCTCCCAGAAAGCACTGCCTTTTGCAGGAAGAACCAAGAACCAGGCTGCTATGGGGACAGCAGGTTAGTAAGCAGAAGCTCCAGACTCTGGACCATGCAGGCGCCCCCAGCAGGGCCTCTGTCCAGCCTGACTCAGTTCCTGATCCCAGGAACCCTTGTTTTCTGCCTCCCGCGGAGAGGTAATCCACCTTCCTCCATTATTCAGTGGCAGCAAGCCTTTGGGTCAGAAAGGCAGACAGGGGGCTGACAGGAGGCCTGGCTGCTTCTGACCTTCATACTCTCCCTCTGGTGGGCCCTTGGGCAGCCATCCTGGGGGAACTAGCAATCACGTCCACCCCCTCTCCCGGGGGGGGGCACTTAACTAGCAGGGAACCTGGAAAGTAGAGAAAGGAAGAGCTGGCAGAAATGGGTGGGGGAGCACTCTGAGAGACCCTCATTGGAGGGGACTCTGGACACCCTAAGACCTTCCCAGCACAGAGCCCCTTTTACCTACACCAGGCAACTTGTGAGAAAGGGTTGTCTTTCTAGATCTTTTAGCTACCTTTCCTCTGGGGCTGAGAACTTCAGATTCCCATAGTTCAGTTCAATGATAAGAATTCTGGGGGTGGCCGGGGAGGGGCGTTGCAGAGAGTCTAGGGCTCAAGGCGCTGACCTCATGCATTGCTGATCCCCAGTTCCATCTAGATGCTATGTATGGTCTCCTGAGCACAGCCACAATGCTGTCCAAATCCCCTCCCTCCAAATAAAGAAAATAAAATGCTAGTTAGAAAAAGAGTTGTCTGCTAACCTATGTAAATGACTCATTGATTCAGTGGGTAGATCAGAGTGCTTGTGGACACCTGCTTCTAAGGATTGCCCTCACTAAGATTTGAAATGGGGAAATACAGATGCACTAATATTTTATTTTATAAAACCTAAGTAACTATTTATTCTTGGGATTACCATATGAATGTTGTTTTATGGAGCCTCTTAATTATTAGTGTCCGATCAATTTACTTGACTCTTGCCCGACTCTCTGACCCTTCAAAGTAGCCACTTTAGTTTTCCTTTTCATCTCTGATCTGATTGCAGTGATAACAGCTCTGTGCACATCCCTAGCACCCCACCCCACGGTAGACTTGGGGTCCTTGGAGGATCCCTCACAATTTAGCGCACATCAGAAACCGTGGAGCAGGAAGCATTTCAGTGTTGAAGAAGTCTATGCCAGGGACAGAGACAAAGACAAATAAAGGAACAAGATAAAAAACTGAAGTTATTTAGCACCAGTGCTGGTCTGGCAGAGTCATCTACCAAGTCTCTCAAGTGACCCAGGTTCCAGCTACATTTTTTATGCAGCTTCATCCCTGGGCTGGGGAATAGTCTACCCTTGTGGCTGGGCACCAGAAGAGGACAGCATTCCCCATGATGAGGTGATGTAGTCTGCAGACAGGTCAGAGTGATTTAGTCCATGATTCAATAACAGGAGGACCTGGAATCAGGCTTCCCTGAGATGGGAAAGAACAAAGAACAGGGATAGGAACCAGATGCCCCTCACAAAAATGGGCATGGGTGACTTATCCCATGCCCTCTTTTGAATACTCTTGTTTGTCCCTCTGTATCTTTGCTTGCTTTTTCCACTCTAAAGAAGCCCATGTTCTCTTTCCAACATGTATTTACTCTCTTTCTCTCCCCTCACATCTTTTTAAACAAGTTGTATTCAATAAAAAATACCTTGCTTCACACTTACACACACACACACACACACACACACACACACACACACACACGGAAATTGGCCTCATAAACTGAATACAGGAATCAGACTTCCCTGCCATCAGGAAATTTTTATATTCTTATGTATTATCCCCTAAAACACAGAAACCAAATCAGGTCCCCTGATTTGGGCCCAACACAGATGGAAAAAATGATTTCACAAACCATCTTATGAAATCTCAGCTCCTGCTGTCCGTAGTGCCTGCCACGCTCTTCCTGGCCCTTTTTCTCGCCCCTTTTCCTACTATATGCATATACATATACATATATATATATCATACCTGAAGATGCTCAGAGGCTCTTCCTGACTCTGTGCTCAGGAGTCACCCCTGGCAGTGATCAGGGGACCATATATGCAAAGCAAGTGCCTTACCTCTAGCCCTCTGGGGGGACGGCGGTGGCATTCAGGGGGATTTCACAGATTCTTTGCTCTTTCACAGGCAGTTGGCCCTGAGCTTCCCAGAAGCGCATTCAATAGATTTGTGTAGTGAAGGGGCCTAGACACGCACATGGCTTTTGATAATAGTGTCCCTCCTCCAGGCCCACCTTCTAGAATGGCATCAACCTGGTCCATCCTTCTATACCTCTCTTTCAAACGCCTCCTGAAGAGGTAAAACCTTTGTCCTCTTTGCTTCACCTTTCACCTCATCTTCCTTCATACCCTTGGGACATCTAGCCTCTGATTTCAGGAGGTGCCCACATGCAGCTTTGGTCTTGCTAAAATTCAGCACGTGCTGCTTGATCTGGTGTGCCTGAGCCTCTGAGGTCCAGGACCCCCTCAGATTAGTGATGGACAGAAATCGTACAGCAGTTCACCATGGGTGGACCAAACTGTTCATCAACAAACTTTTCTCGTAGGAAAAGAAGTGTTTGATGGGAACAGAAAGAAAGGAGCCCCAGGAAGATGCAGAGTTTTCCTGTCAGCCCCAGGGAAAGGCTGAAAAGATGAGGCCTAGCAGAGGCAAGGCAAGTGTCTAAAATCCACAGACGTGCATAAGGGAGCTTTAATGGCCTTAGAGAACAAGGGGTAGGAAACATAGAACTGGGAACTCCATAGACTTCTCAAGGAAGGGCCTCATTGAGTTGAAAATGGATTTAAAAAAAAGGATAAGAAAAAATTGGACTCATCAGAGGGACAAGAAGCTAGTGGGAAAACCTGCCAACCCCAGAGAACAGGAAAGACGAGGAAACCGGTCCTGCCTTTGTTCACATACACTCTCTCTCTCTCTCTCTCTCTCTCTCTCTCTCTCTCTCTCTCTCTCTCTCTTCCGGCATAATCCCTCACTCACCTCCCTGGAGCTCAGTTCCCTTTTCCTTGCTCCTGCTTTCCTGCCCAGCTGATAAAAACACTTTATATTCCAATAACTGTTCAGTTGTAGGAGATGGAGTCAGAATTAGGTGAGAGAAGAGGCCCATCCTGTCACTTCTTAATCAGATTCTAATTTTTGTTTTTTTGAGGCATTCAGTAGAGAGAGGCTGGGTTTATTTATATATTTTTTGACCTGAACTGAAGGGACCTTTCCTTTGAGAGATATTTTCTGCCAGACTGGATTTGGCTTTGCAAACTTGAAGCGTAGCAGAATCACTCGAGGCCCTGCTTCTTCAAAGGGTGGCAACTGAAGAGCAGCCAGATGACATGATACATAGAGAAGCCTGGTCAGTTCTTTTCTCTGAGGGAGTACGTAGGAGGGATGGGCCCCAAATAGGGTTTCTGTGAGAAATGAATCCGATCAGGGCTCCAGGCATGAAATGGTTTTGAGATCAAAGATCCGGTCAAGGCCTTCTCTTTCTAAGAAACACAATTATAGCAATTCTCTCTGTTCTTGCCACTAAGAACCTCAACCAGTCAAAGGTAATCGGGGTCCCCAAATACTGATTTTCAAGTAACTTCTGAAGTCAGTATAAAGACATTTCCTGCAGTCTCTCTTCTTTGTTCTCAGAGCCCTATTTGTGCTCCCTTGAAAAATTGGAGCCAATTTCGCCTCCCGCAACTATTATTGTACAGCATAAAAATTTGGATCCTTCAGCATCTTTTATGAGTATTTCACAATCCGCATAGCATGGTACAGCTTTGTTTAATTTGTTCACTAAGATTAGTCTGAACTGTGTTTTCCATGAAAAGATATTCTTGGAGTATGTCTCCATGAAAGCCACTTATCAAGGGAAGCAGATTAATTCAGCATAAGCTCGGTGTTGCCAGCATACACACACGTACACAGAAACCCGAGCAAAAGGCAAAGTGATTTCTTGAGATTGCTGATGATATACATGAGAAATTTTACTTTGGTTGTTTTGAAATGTGAATTCTTTCACATGACCTCCGACATCCCTTCCTTTTAGGAACTTAGAAGTCATAAAACTCAGCCTGGAGTGATAGCACAGTGGAGTGATAGTGCATGTGGCCGACCTGGGTTCAATTACCAGCATCCCATATGGTCTCCTGAGCACTGCCAGGAGTAATTCCTGAGTGCAGAGCCAGGAGTAAGCTCTGTGCATCGCTGGGTGTGACCCAAAAAGCAAAAAGCAAAATAAATAAAAAAACGAAGAAGTCATAAAGTCACAAAACCTTAAAATCTAGAAGTGAACTTGTGTGTCTTCCAAGCCAGCATCAGTGATTTTGAGGCGAAGAAGCTGAACAGGAATAGATAAAGGGGTGATGAGTGAACCCCCGCCCCTCACCCTCTGAGAGGAGAAGCTCTTTGACCTGGCTGTGTGTTGAGCTAGCAAATGAGCCTCTCCCATGAGACTACACCCCAGTGTCCTACCTGCCCACTCTCATCCTGGCCCCGAAACTGGGACTGGGGCAGACGCTGCCCACCCCCTCGCCCCCAGTCACCTGTCCAGTCAATTCAACTTTCTCTGATCCCAAGCTGCCTTCTGGGAATTTGAAAATGTTTTCCTCTTTCACACAGGAGCAGGTAGGCGCATTCCAAATGGTCTTGTCAACCAGAACATTGGTTCATCTGTGGTGGTGCCATTTCCTTTTGTAGCCTATCACCACCTCTTCCTTTACCTCCCACAAGGAATCTGATGATCTGACTTCAGAGAACCTGCCAGAATCTCAGCTCATGTCTTCCCTGAACTTTGACACACCAGAACCTGCTGTCGAGGATGCCAGAAGGGACCTTGATGATCACGGTATGAGTTTGCCCCAGACTCAGAACTGTACTACTTCCACAGAGAAGTAGCCAGGACTTTCTCTCTGTTTGCCCATGTGGGGCTGTGACAGGGAGGAAAAGCAGAGAAGTCAGTGTTTGTCTGTCCTCTGTTCCCTTCTTTGTCAAAGTAAAGATGAGTTGGATCCTTGTACCACGTAAAGGAGTGGCCCCACTTAATATAGGTCTTTCCCTGGACTGGGGATGCTCCAAGGCCCTCCTTCCCTCTGCTGTGTGTGGCTTACCTGGCCCCGAACAGTGTAAAGTGAAGAGGCAATGTCAGATTCTGAAAAAATCAGCACCTTGGATATGTTAGGAATAAAGAATGTTCAGAGATATCACCCAAATGGGAGATACAGCATCGCCTTATGGTACAAAATAGTCACTGTCACTGTCACTGTCCTCCCGTTGTTCATCGATTTGCTCGAGCGGGCACCAGTAACATCTCCATTGAGAGACTTTGTTGTTACTGCATTTGGCATATCGAATATGTCACGGGTAGCTCGCCAGGCTTTGCTGTGTGGGCGAGATTCTCTAGGTAGTTTGCTAGACTCTCCGAGAGGGGTGGAGAAATGAACCTGACTTGGCCATGTGGGCCGCGTGCAAGGCAAATGCCCTACCCGCTGTGCTATCGCTCCAGCCCATAAAATAGTAATTTTATAAAATAACATATGAGACTGATGGGGCGGGGAGGTAAACTCAACCAGCCCCCCTCCAAGGGGCCCCGGTGAGGAGAGCCAGTCACGGGGGCAGGAGACTCTGTGCTGTTCTCTTCTGGGAGCTGGGTTTTATAGTCCCTGGGTCTTGGCCATTTCCCTCCCCACCCTGAGCAGAGCCATGGCAGCTGAATACCTCCAGATCCAGCCACAACCATGCTTAAGACCACTCTCCACATGTTTGGATGAGCCTCAGCATGAAGGAACCGGCAGAGGTACCCAGGTAAGCGGGACTCAGGGCTGAGATCTCCAGGCCTGCTTGGATTGGGACTGGGCCTCTTCCATCCAGATCACCCATCTTCCTGTAGCTAGGCATTACACCCACCAACTGCCCCTGGCACCGTATTATCCCATCTATTATCCCATCAACGGCCAAGACCCAGGGACTATAAAACGCAGTTCCCGGAAAACCTCTTATTGTCTATTTCTCACTCTTGGAGAACCCGACAGGGTACCGAGTGTATCCTGCCCGCATGGCAGAGTCTGGCAAGCTCCCCATGGTGTATTTGATATGCCAAAACCCAGTAACAATGATTGGTCTCATTCCCCTGACCCTGAATGAGCCTCCAATGTGGCACTTGCTAAAATCTCAGGGCTAGGACAAATGGATATGGTCAATGGTTCTGAATCCTTTGCGGAACCCGGCTTGCTCGCATGGTTGTCCTTCAACTAGTGTTCTGCCAATCCTATTTAGGATGTCTCGGGTGAACAACTTGTAGATGACAGACAATAGGCAGATCGGGCGATAGTTGCCAATGTCATGGATGTCTCCCTTCTTGAACAATAGTACAGTCCATATCCACACGATAACCAAGCTCATTGAGGTTTCTTGGGAGTTCAAGATGCCGCTCTGTCTAACGTTCATTGATGTAAAGAAGGCCTTTGATTCTGTTGAGACAGAAGCGGTCATCGAAGCCCTAGCCAATCAGGGCACTCAAGCTCAATACATCAAGATCCTCTGTGAGCTGTATTGCGGATTCACTACCAGGAGCACCATTCTACAAAGAAGTAATCATTGATGTCAAGAGAGGGGTTCGGCAGGGTGATACCATTTCACTGAAACTCTTCAGTGCCACCCTCGAGACATCATGCGACGACTGGAATGGGAAGGAATAGGAGTGAAGATAGATGGTCGGCAACTACACCACCTCCGCTTTGCTGATGACATTGTCTTAATAACACCAAACATCAGCCAAGCGGCACAAATGCTGGCCGATTTCGATCATGAGTGTGGAAAGGTCAGTCTACAGCTGAATCTTATGAAGACAATGTTTATGAGAAACAGCCTCGTTCCTGACGCCCCATTTGCTCTCAATGGAACGACCATCTCCGAATGCAACAGCTATGTGTACCTAGGTCGAGAAGTCAACATGACAAATGACCTGGCACCCGAGCTGTGCAGGAGGAAGAGAGTGGCTTGGAACGCCTTCAAGAGCGTTGAAGAAATAGCTAAGAGGACGAAGAATCCGGCTCCGGGCACATCTCTTTGATTCCAGTGTTCTTCCTGCATTAACATATGCCTCAGAGACCTGGGCCCTACGCAAACAGGATGAGAACGCTATTCGGGTCTCCCAAAAAGGAATTGAAAGAGTTATGCTTGGAATATCATGTTTCACTCAAATGAGAGAAAGAATCCGGAGTTCCGACATCCGTTGACGATCAAGAATCAGGGACGCTGTCTCGTTTACCAAGGTGTCAAAAATCAGATGGACTGGTCACGTAATGAGATTTAAAGATGACCGCTGGACTAGAGCTGTTACCGACTGGATTCCACGGGATGTCAAAAGACCGTGTAGCTGCCCACTTACCAGATGGTCAGACTTCTTCATCAAGATCATGAACGATTGGTTTGAGGCTCTTCATGTTCCTGAACGAACAGACGCCATTGGGCTACACTAGCACGTGACAGGGACAAATGGAGTCGTTACTGGCACCCGCTCGAGCATATCGATGATTAACAGGAAGTCAAGTGATCAAGTGATCAAGGACGAATGGAGACATTACCGGTGCCTGCTCGAGGAAATCGGTGAACAACAGGATGACAGTGATACAATGATACAGTGATGAGACTGACACCCAAAGACAGTAGACACAAGGGCAAGGAGTATCGCCCCATAATTGGAGGCCTGTCTCATGAGCCGGGGGAGAAGGCAGCTAGAATAGAATAGAAAAGGGATCACTAAGTCAATGATGTTTGGAAGAATCATTCAGGATGGGAGATGTGTGCTGAAAGTAGATAAAGGAACAAATGTGATAGCCTCTCAGTATCTATATTGCAAACCATAAATGCCCAAAAGTAGAGAGAGAGTATAGGGGAAATTGTCTGCCATAGAGGCAGGGGGAGGGATGGGAAGGGAGGGGATACTGGGGACATTGGTGGTAGAAAATGTGCACTGGTGAAGAAGGGATAGGTGTTAGATCATTGTATGAAACTCAAACATGAAGGTTTTGTAACTGTATCTCATGGTGATTCAATTTTTTAAAAAATAATTTTAGGACGGAAACTGTTGGCCTTATCAGGGAAATGGCTGGCACCCTGATTTCTCTATATCTGTTTCTTTGTCTGTAAACTGAGAAAGAAAAATACCTCCCAGGTTGTTTTGGCAAGCAAGGAAGAACAGGCCTGGGCCCTTTGTGCTCAGCAAAAAGAGAGGCGAAAGGGACCAGAGAGATACTACAGTGGGTAGGGTGTTTGCCTTGCATATGGCTGACCAGGATTTAATCTTGAGTCACCCTTGGGAACTGCCAGATGTGATTCCTGAGCACAGAGCCAGGTGTGACCCCTGAGCATTGCTGTGTGTGCTTCCCCCCCTCCAACCCCCCTACCCCCCAAAGAAAGAGGTGAGGAGACCTAACGGTCTGCTGAGGGAAGCAGTCAGTGTAAGAACTTAGAGGAGGGACTGCTGTGGATATAGGACTTTCTTCAATGCCTTTCCTCCCCAAGGACCCAGGGTAACATGCCAGGAACATTGGGGTACTAGGTAAATTGTGCTTGGATGATGAAGAGAATGATCTGCCAATCTGAATCTCTGCTTTGCACCATAGAGATTTCCCATTTCCTCCGAAGTGTGTGTTTAGAGGTAAACGGAAAGACTTGCAAGACAAGACAAACATGGCAAGTGAATTGAACTTTCGAAAGGCATAGAGTCTTTGGTGTATCATTAGGCTAATTTCTATGAACTATAATGATTAGATTACTCCTAAGCTAGCTCTTTCGGACCAGGAGGCTCGAAGTATTTTCCTCAATTCTTTTATCATCTGTCATGGAGATCTCAGTATGCTAGGATATTATTTATTTACTAGCCCAACTGGAAAGACTCAAAATCTATTCTTTCAATCACTTTCTTGGTGCTATATTCAAAATACTTCTTACATATCCATAATGAGATGTAAGGTTAAAACACACAACACTCCTGCACACATACACACACACACACACACACACATACATGGTCAATTGTGTCAAATGCCTTGCAGAATACTTTAAACATTTTTCTTGTATTTTATTCCCCTCTGAATGTGTTCTCTACAGTTTATTCTGTCTCAAATATTAATTAAAAAGGAGACTTAGTACTATGAAAACATAACCTTTGAGTTAATGATTAAGATGATTAATGATCACATTGGTAACCTTGAAATTTTGAGAACTTGAATTTGTTGGTGAACTTTCATGGGTATTTTTGTTATTCTCCTTGACTTGTATATTTGAATCTGAATTTTCATAAGTAAGTTTCATATCTAAACTTTCACAAATAAAATTTGAATCTAAAGTCTCTCACTCAGAGTGAGTTGACATATATATGATATATACATATGTATATATTATCTAGTTTCTATGTGTAAAATAAAATTACACGGTCATTTTTGAAGCTCCAGCACCAAATGTTGAATCAGTCTTTAATGCCAATTTGGAAAAATTTCCTCTGGATTATGAGGCATGAGTTATGGAGAAAGAAGACAGGGTGAGACATTACTTACATTACATTTCTTAGCTGATTTGGCTAATGAGCCTAGGTGAAGCTGTGACTAATCATTATAATGAGAAAGCACAACTGGAATGCCTGCCATCCCTGCTTACCCCCTTCTGTGGAATGTTGATGAGTTCTTACACTATATATATATATATATATATATATATATATATATATATATATATATAGGCAGACACTTCACTGCACTTTAGCTTTATTTTAAGCATCTCACAGCTGAGTCTCAGAATAGTGTACGGTGGGGAGCTGGAGCCGCCTGACACTCAGGGGCTCAGGCT